AGTCATCATCTAAAGTTTCTTCGCTTGAATCATCCCACTTGTTGGTGAACCCTATGTGTTCTTCTTAAAGACAGTTTGGCTGGCAACATGCATCCGCACGTTAACCTCATCCAATTCTTTCAAGGAGAGGCTCTTCTCTATTTTTTGGGCAAGGAAGTCTGGTACGCCAACATTGGCTACCGCTTCTCTGATCTCCGGAAATGGATCAATGTCAATCCCCATTACCTTTTTCTGTTTTGGCTAGGAATTTCAATCTTCCTTTCCAAATTTGCTCTTGAATCCTGTCTCGAAAAATAATACAGTTTTTAGTTGAATGAGACCAAGAGTTATGCCATTTACAGTACATTTTTCCTTTAATTTCTTCTAAAGTTGGAATCTTTATTCCCTTAGGCAATTTTAGAAAATGTGCTGTTAGCAAATGATCAAATATGTCATATGCTTTTGATATATTAAAAGAATATTTATTGTGAAGGTCTTTCTTTTTAAACTACTGATTAATGGTAGTGTCTTTCTTAATTAATGCTTCGCAGGTCATAGACTCTTTTTCTATGATCTCCGCTACATCAATTTCAAAATTAGTGTTCTTATAATAAGTCCTATAGGATGCATTACTTCGATCTTGTTCTTCCTTAAGTAGAGTTTCATATCTGGTGATTTCATATGTTAATTCTACTAGATCTCGAAACTCTATAGAGTCAAATTTCTTTCGAAGCTTAAACTCTAGCCCATTTTGGGTTAACCTCACAAATTCAGGTTCAGGTAATATGACCCTACATTTGTTTCGTGCTCTTTTGAATCTAGCAATGAATTGAGCAACCTTCTCATCAGGCCTTTTGCTCAACCTTGCCAAGTCTGCCATAGATACTTCAGACTCTGTTTGAAAAAATTGGGCATGAAACACTTCTTCCATTTGTTGCCAAGTTTGAATAGAACCAAGTGTAAGGTTTGTGTACTATACAAAAGCTACCCTAGTTAGAGAGTTTGGAAAGAGTCTCAATTTCATGTAATTATTGTTGATAAATTTACCACATTGGCCTGTAAATCTTGCAATGTATTTAACAGTTGACTGGTTTCCATTCTCATAAAAAAAGGGGCAAAATCTAGTATATTATATGTTACGCCCCAAGCTCCATGACAACGCCGCACACTCATTTAAGTGAGCATGCAAGGCTAAGAGTCCAATCACAAAAACCAACATTGTAAAGTACTCAAATTAAATCTTTAATTATCATAATGCCAAAATCCATAAAAATAAATAATTCTTATATGAAATTGTCCACTAAGTTCATTAATTTAATCCACTAACAAAACAATAATCCAAGTATTTAAACCATAGTCCTACTCTCGGCACTCCCACAAGTAAAAATCCCGCGCAGCTCTACTCCTCAAAATCTTAAAAAAAAAAATAAGAGTAAGCTAGACAGCCCAGTAAATAATCAACCATCACTGCTAGCTGGATCAAGTATACAAAAAAATAATAATAATAAATAAATAGTCGATAACCAATAAATATAATTTTTGCTACAATTCAATAAATGAACAATTATTTGTAAGATGGTTTCATAGTTAAAAATAAACAATGTACAATACATTTTAAATGAAAAGCCAATAAGATAATTCAAAGTAATTCGTTGTTCAAAATCGATGGTTCGATATTCAGATGGTTCAATGATTTGATTCACAAAACCCAAGTCTTGGTGACTACGGTCACTTAACCCGTGACAAGGCCCAGAACCACACTTAGGCCGGTGGTAAAGCCCCAAAAGAAACTAGTTTCTGTGCCAATAAATAACCCTCATTGGCTAGGGTCCAAATCATAGTCAGACTAGAGTGATGTTCAAAATTCAAACAATAAACAAATTTTAAATAAAATATTCGATATTTTCAGAATAAACGTTTAATACAATTTTCAGAATAGTTTTACAAAATATTCAAATAATTTTCATAATAATATTCGATGTTGTTTTATACTTGACCTATATTTTATTTGAAAAGAACATGAAAGCTAAATAAATATTTATGATTTTAAACGATTCAATATGAATAAAAATGAACCAACAGTGATAGAGAGTTACTTACCTCAAACAGCTGAAATAATATTCCACCACACTAACTGCAGACACCCAGTTCCACCAATTCAATCACACAAACCTAATAAATAGAACCTCAAATAAATTAATATTTTGATGTCTTTCACACATCAACAAGAACCCATTATATATATATATATATTCTTAAAGTCCAAGAGACACCAAATCAATCCACCCAATTCAGTAGCCAAACACAGCTTACCCAATGTACAAAATCCAAAAGTCAAAATACACCCACCCAAAATGCTCCACTGTTTCAACTCTTTACCTAGACCACACTCCACACGTGGGTCTATTCATCAACCTCTCAAACCGAATAGGCACCTACAGGTTACATAAAGCTTCGGCCCTTTTTTTTTTTTTATCAAACGAAAATTAATAACTTGTTGGTGATACAAGAATCTTACCACAGTCAATGGTTGAATACTTGAACGTCTCTCTTTTTTTTCTTCTTCTTTACTTTTTCAAACCCTTGTTGCCTCCAAAACTCTTCACCGCAAATCCCCAGCCTCTGTTTTTATTTTTATATTTTTTTTTTCTCCAAGGCTTAAAGCTACAACCTATGGGCTTATTAACCTAATTTCCTAAGATTACAAAATTACCCATCTAAGTAATAGAAATTATAATACCATCTCATAACTAATTCCTTAATATTACTAAATGACCCATATAAATTAATTTAATTTCTAATCTATCCAAAAATAATTATATACAAAACTTGGATTTTACATTATATTCCCATGGGTATTTATGTAACCTATCTACCTATTCTAGGTAAGGTTTTCTGTAGACAGGGGTTTAGACCTCCCGGGCCATAGGTCCACAAATTTCTCTGACAATGTCATTGATTTGGGCTTCTCTCCAGAATTTGAATTTAAATTGTAAGCAACCATTTAGCCACGTCATCTTGCACTTCTTTGACTGTTCCAGTGTCTCGTAGATTCATCACCATTGATACAAGTTGCCATGTGTTTGTTGATAACTGGAGACCTTCGCTGACTCCCCAAATTACTCTTTATGAACCACGTGTCGTACTGTAATTGACTTGTACAAAATATATGGCCAACAATAAGTCATATATTTCTTAACTTTTTGTCTCTAGTAAAAAAAATTAAATTTATATTAAAAATATTTATTGTTCAAGTCCTTTTTATAGTTTAGAATGATCTAAAAAAATATAGAAAACTAAAAATTAAAAAAGTATAGATTTAATAAAAACTAAAAAAGTATAGAGCCTATGTTTGGGAAGTGGGTTTTGTGGCTTTTTTTTACTAACATAACCACAAAAAATAAAATAGGCTTTTTAGCTCAATAAGACAAAATATCACATTCAATTTATAATCATTACATTCTTTCTCTCGCAAAAAAATCAAAAAAATCAAAAGCTCTTCCAAAATCAGGTTTTTTATCTCTAGGTTAAAATAGTCAAAAAAGTCCAAAAGTTAAAAAATTAACACACTTCCCAATGGAAGCCAGAGAATCCTAATCCAAAAAAATAGGTAATATCATATTTTCAAAAAAAAAAATAAAACATTTTTTGAAAAAGTGTGGGAATCATGGTGGTCCTGCAACTTTATAACATGTCCATCTCAATATGCTGGTTGGGGATACGTACGAATATGATGGCTGGTTTTTTATTTTGTTCTTTACTTGAATCATCGTACCTTGTCCCCTTTTCATCATTGGCTTGCATTTCCTTTTTCTTTTGTTGTTTTGTTAATGGAAATGGATGGTCTTTACTGCAAGTGAAAGTTTTTCTTATTCCGTATTATTCTTTTTTTTTAAAAAAACAAAATTAATTGGGGCGGCCGGTGACAAGAAGGGAGGGAAGAGGGTGGTGCTGGCGAGCTAGGTAGGGGTGTTAAAAGAAAATTAATAAAATTAAAATTTGAAAATAAGTAGTCTAAAAGATGTTCAACGAATTTTTAAGCATATGTTTTGAGCCTTCCCTACATTTTTAGTGACAAACCTCAAGTGAAGTGAAATCTAAAATTAATACATACTAGTGTTATATATACAAATTATTATACATAATTCTTATAAATATGTGGTTAAAATTGTAATTCTTTCATTCAAAATTATTATAAGATCTATCTATTATGTGTTTCATTTAGATTATTTAAATAATTTATTTTCTAAGATTCTTTGTATATATCATTTTAAAAAATTAAATTAATTTAATAATTATACATAATATATTAAATTACCCTAATATTTATTTTATATATCAATTTCCATTTAAAAACTCCTTAATCATTTATGTCGTATAGCTAAATCTGTCTTTCTTCACAGGAGCAAATGTGCCTGTTTGGCAGCCTGGTAAAAAGTTGCGTTTGTAGTTTGGTTTCAAAAAATCAACATTGACTTTTTTTTATCAAAAAGTCATTTGCCAAGATGAAGAAAAGCCACATATAAAATTACAATTATATCCTTTATATTATTTAGAATTATACATTGGTGAAAATGTAAATTTTTTAAATTGGATGGAGTAGTTTGGTCATTTTATTGTGATGTGGCATTAGAAATAAATATTAACCAAAAAAGGTAAAATCAGTTTTTTATCAATTTTTCAAATCACTTTTTAAAAAAGTTAAAAAACTTGATAAAAAGTCAAAAATTAACTTTTTATCATCTTTTCAAAATACCCCAATAATTTTTTTGAGTAGTAGTATCACTACATCCACTTTGTTTTATCCGAATTTATCTAAATGAATTGTTTTTTTGATATAATTTTCTCATTCAAATAGATTCGAGCGGAATAAGTTTAAGAATAATATTATATGTACTAATTAATATATTAACAAATGATATGATATAATTTTAAGAATTTTAAATATTTATAATTTATATAATAAGTAAAGTAAATAATAATATTATAATTTATGATACATCAATTAATCTATTACTCCCAGTGCATTAAATGTCTCACTTTCCACTTACTGCTAAATCCATTAATTAATCCAACTCTCTCTTCTCTCGATCTCTCTGGAAATGGAACAAAAATCCCACAAAAATAAGAGCAAGGATTTTCTAGAGTGATTTTTTTTTAAAGTTTTCTAGAGTGCTACATTGTGTGGTTGAGATTTACTGGTAAGTCACATCAATTTTTCTGATGTGACTTGCCAATAAATCTCAACCACACAATATAACACTCTAGAAAATTTTAAAAAAATTTCGCTCTAGAATCCTTGGTGCAAAAACAAAGGCAAATGTAGAACACAGATAGAGAGATATAACAGAGAGAAACAAACCATTCGAGAGAGAGAATAACTAAGTAAACTGTCTGCAACTAAACAGGAAAGCTTTCCCTATATGCATGCATTCATGGGTTGCTCTGCTTCTCGTTTCACCAGACCCACCCAACTCGACCAACCCTCCAACAACAACAACCCATCTTCATCTTCTCAATATTCTTCTGATTCCCATTCAACCCCTCCTCCAATCTCTCGATCTCTCTCTCTCCCAACCCCTCTCATCCACCACCTACCTCTCCGCAAAGGCGACTCCAACCACTTCGTCTCTCTCACCTCCTCCACCTATGGCTCTCCATTCCACAACGACCCAATTCATAACCCTAGCTCTAATCCCAATTTGAACTCTCATTGTCGCTTCAATCGCTCCTCATCACCGACCCACATTGCCAGAGCCCAAACCCGAAAAGACCCAAAAGAGCAATCTTCACCTGACTATGTTATCAACACTTGGGAGCTCATGGAAGGTCTTGATGATATCGAATTTGATGCTGTTCAGAAACCAAATCCGGAAAAGCCCAATTCGTTTCAGTACATGGGTTGTAATGGGTCTGCTAAGAAAGTTTGTGATTCATTTGATTCACTGAGTTCTCTTGAAATCGTTGAAAATCCCCATTCGAGGCCTTTATGGAAGCACTTTTCGGAGGAGTCGTTGTTAGCGACAATGGACTCGAATGTGGTTTCCAGGTATAGACAAGCATTGTCGTCGAAGCAATTGGGGTGTAGAGATACAATGCCCCAAAAAATTAGACCTGTGGTGTCTAGCACTAAGAATGGAGGAGATAAAATTGTTGTGTATTTTACTAGTTTGCGAGGAATTAGGAGGACTTACGAAGATTGTTGCGCGGTTAGGATGATTTTTAGGGGCTTCAGGGTGTGTGTAGATGAAAGGGACATTTCTATGGATTCAGTGTATCGAAAGGAGTTGCAGAGTGTATTGGGAGGGAAGACGGTGAGCCTGCCGCAAGTTTTTATTGGAGAGAAGTATGTTGGAGGTGTAGATGAGGTTAAGAAACTCAATGAGTGTGGTGAATTGGCAAAGCTTTTGGAAGGGTTTCCAGTTCGGGATTTGGGGTATGTTTGCCGGAGTTGTGGGGATGTAAGGTTTGTGCCATGTCCAAATTGTAATGGGAGTAAGAAGATTTTCGAGGAAGAGGAAGGGAGGTTGAGGATGTGCCGGGATTGTAATGAGAACGGGTTGATTCGATGCCCGATCTGCTGCTCTTGAATGCTGGTTCCGATTAGTGAGACATGCATATGGTATTTGTCATGAGGAAAAAAAAAAAAAAAAAACTAGTAACGAAGTGTTTATATTTATGTTTTTAGGGTTATATTTGTGACTAATTTGATCCGTCTATATTGTTTAGCTGTTGATGTTCTCGTTCATTGTCTCTTTGGACAAACTTGAAATTAAAAAAATAACGTTATTAGCTTGCTCCCATTCAGTGTAGAGAATTGTGTATTTTTTTCATGATTGTTAGCTCTGTTGTCTGATCTTTTTTTTCTTTTTTTTTTTTTGGGTAAAACTTGCTTCTTTGTGCATTGATAACTGTGACCAGAATAAAGTTGTGTGATGGATTGATTTTTTTTTTTTTTTTTTGATAAATACATTTTACGACATTGTGCACTTTGGCTGCTTTTGTTGGTGTATACTATTTCCTTTCCATTGATCGCGTGTTCTGTTGCATGGTATTGAATTGTATGTGATAGAATTCATATCTTTAGAGCATGAACTTTCTATAGAAATTACATGTTCTAAGGGTAATTTGTTTGTTTTTGGTTGTGAGAAGAACTTTTACGTTTCCCATTGTATGTAATATGCTATTAGAAACAAATCAACCATTATGAGATACGGAAAGTCTTTGAAGGTTGAAGGACCTTGAAGATTGAAAACCTTGAGCAACAATTTTCTACTTATATTTTATCTGCATTATTTCAATGTTTGACCATAGCAATTTGTTGTGACATGTCCGAATCATTCAGCACCACTAATATGGATTTGTTTCAACTGCTTTCTGATATACTAGCTAGCTTCTGCAGCATATTGACAAAATCAAAGACGAAAGTCGGGCTGCTGTATGTCAAAGCAGGTCTAACTCTAATTATTTTGTCGCCCAAGGATGTGAAACTACTAATATTTCTTAGTTGCTTATGAGTTCGAATTTTATTTTACAGGACTAAATTTTTTAGAATAATTTGCTGATAATATGCTTTATGGCCTACACATATTTTCTATTAGGAGAGGTGACTTGTTGAGCTTTCCACATTGTCGTGGCTGCAGTTACTGGATGGTGTAAGATCTGTGTGCGACATTGTTTTATCTGGAATATGAGGCTTTTGTTGCTTTTGTGGAGCCTAATTAGTACTGTACATTTCACCACGAGTTCACAAAGAGTATTAAGGGTATTACTTTAATATGTTGATGTAAATCCTATCATATATGTTGTTATCTACACAAGCTGCCCCGTATTGTACTCTTCTCTTTTTTTAGGAGAGTGGAATTGCTGTCTCGTGTTTTTTTTGTTTTTGTTTGTGATTGATTGATTCTTCTTGTTATTATGTGTAGTTTATTCTGCTGTCTTTTGCTATTCATTAGTTGGCAAGTTCCATTGTTGTCCTTGGATTAGTTCAGTGATTTGATCAGTTAAGTTCTCAATAGAATATAAAGATGATGCAACAGTATCATTCATTTTCCTCCTCCATTTCTGCCATTGTCTGTTGCAGGTCAGTTTCCTCCAGAACACTGCATGTTTTTTTTGATGTAGAAATGAATTTTTATCTAGGCATTTTGATGGTAGAATAAACATAGAGAAATTCACTGACTGTTACACTAGTGTTGCAACTAAAGTGCTAATCTTTGAGCTTAGCCTTGTGACATTTTCAAGATGAATTTTTCGGAAAACCAGAAGTTACTAACTACGGTTGGAGACCTCAAAAAGGGGACCAGCTTGCAATGGGGGAGGGTGCCCAAGAGATTTATGTGTACATGGCCAACTTTGATACGATATGAACCCCTTGAATAAAACTCACTCTTGAAATCAACTTGTGAGGAAGGAGTACCAAAGAGACATATATGTACATGACTAGGCATATCTTAACCGATGTAGGATTGGATTAAGATCTACCTCGAATGGGTTTTTTTGTGATCTATTGTGTGCAACTATCTACAAAAAAGGAGTTGGATTTATACCATAAATTGGGGAGTATTATTTTGATTGACTTCATGTCTATGGTAAATGAATGTATGAGCAGAACTTATTCCTGGAGTTCTTTCGACTACGTAACTTATTATTTGGAGGTGGGACAATTTACTCCAAAATAATTTTTCTTATGCAATATAAGTAAAACACCATTTTTTGGAAAAATATAAATCGTCTTTTATTGGGTAATTAGTAATTAAACTGAAATTGTAAAAGTAAAAAAGTAAATTCAATAAATGGCCCTAAAGTATATCATCGATTTTTATTTGGTCTTTAAATTTTTGTTTTATCAATTGCAGTTCTAAACTTTATACATTAATCAAACATAGTCCATTTTTTAACTATTATTTAAGGAATAGACAAAAATTGGTTCTTCAGCTTCATGTCAAGCATTGAATAGTGTGAACAACATTTTAACACACCTATTCATATAAAGGGTTATTTTGGAAAGTAGCTTATAAGTTGATTTTTTGATTTATTATAAAAAAAACATACCAAAAAAAAAAAATTTGAAAAGGTCTTTATGATCTATAGAACCAATAAGCTGGCTTTTAAACTTGTCAAAAGGCCAAAATACTATTCAGTTAAATATTCAAGCATGTTTTTATTAAACTCTCAACTGGCCATTTGTTTTGGATGATAGAGGTAGGGATTAAATTATGATAGATGTGAGACTCATTATAATAGTGTTTGTTTGCAAAATAAGGAAGGAGATTCATAATCCCTTCGGGCCCATTTATTTTCAAAGGTAGGATAGATGGAATTGATAATAAGGGGATTAAGTAAAATTGTGTTTGTTTTGATGATAATTATTAGTGTGGGAATTGTTAACTTATTTTTATATAAAATAATAAAACAAATAAAAATCATGGCATTTACTTAACAAAAAAAAATATATATATATATATTAATGTTCAAAATGTGCGACTAAAAAAAAGAAAATTGCACTTGGCCAGTTGACTGGCCAGTCGTCCCCTTGAGGACCTGTAACACTTTAATCCGAACAGACTATTTCTAAATACCATCTCATTACCCAGACTATTAATCCGCTCATCCAAGACTTTTCGTAGTTCGAAGGGACTCTCAATCCGGACCTCTATTTCCAAAACAAACATGATATTAATTTATTGTTTATCATTAACAGTCCAACCCAGATTGCTAGATCAAAAATCAAATGGGCCCTTAGGACTATGTGCATGTTTGGTGCAGCTTAAAAGTTGCTTATTTCAGCTTTCAGCTTAATTTAAGCTATTTTGATGTGTTTGGTTTAGCTTAACAATGCAGCTTATAGCTTTGTGTAAGTCAGAAATCAACTTATTCTTTGAGTGGGGCAGGAAATGCTTAATTTATAAGTCAGGAATCAACTTATGTTCATAATTATAAGCTATAAGCTATAAGCTATTAAGGCATAAGCTATAAGCACTTTCCCACAGCTCTACCAAACAGGGCCTATGATAGGTCTTGGATGACAGGATTAGCAAAGGCCTCCAAGGGCTGGGTTTCAAAACTAGTGAGGGGATTAGTTTGGAAGAAGCCTATTTTGGCCATGTTGTGTGTTGTGTGTTGTGTATTTGTGTATTTTTTTTTTGGGTAGTATTATGTCATTATATATATTAAAATAATATAGTACAAAAAAATATTCATAAAATATAATTTTTAATATTAAAATTGTGGAGAAATATTATGAGATGACACCACATGGCTAAGATGATGCCGAGATGTTAGCCAAGGTGCCACGTGGGTTGATCATGTTTACCGAGATGTTTAGGGCACTGCCGAGGTATTCTGCGGGAATATTGGAATCCGAGATAGTTGGATAGAGGACTAGAGTCCTAGATGACATCAAACTACCTATTTGGATAGAGATGAGACTCTTGATGAAATTCATCTTAATCTGAATAGTGTAAGTTGTGATAGATATTATCATTGTAAAGTATAGAGTCCCATAAAATAAGACTTTTAGGGGAAGTTGAACATTGATCATTATAAAAGTGAGGCACCCTCGTGGGTCTAAGGTATGTTTTTATGTGTGATATACTGTGAGCAGTAAGTTCTTTCTTGTGAGTTTAAGCACAATTTACTATCTTTGAGAGATATTGATTACTGACTTGATCATCGGAGTGCCCCCAGGTGGACGAACCACCGTCGAATTCTCATCTTCTTGTACAGGTTATTGGGCTTAATCTATTCTGCCGGTGCTCTCCAACTGAGTTCCCCTTTTGGTTGTGTGGTCGGAAATCAACACCCACAATTTGGCGCCATCTGTGGGAACTTAGTAAGGATAGATGGCCAACAACGGACATGAAGTGAGGATTGGAGACGACATCCACAGTAAGGAGGATGAGCATGTGGATCCTAATACTAAATGAGGGGACCATAACAAAAAAGTGCAAGAAGTAAATCTTGAGGCGAATAATGTCGCCAAAGGTCGAGAAGAGAACAAAAAGGGTAGCCAGGATGAGTACTACTGTGAAAGCGACCTTCAAATATAGAGGGACAGGTGCTAGAGAAAAGATGAGGAAACTGAAAGACGCAAATAAGTTGACAGATCTACAGACAGTGGTCAACCTCATGATGCAGAACAACGTGATATAGCCGACTTCCCCAATACAAGACACGCCGACACTAGCAGCCAAAACTAGTGCCTAGGAGACAAGATCTCGGCCTAGATGATTAGGTCTGAGAAGACAAGATCTCAGCTTGAGTGAGTAGATCCTAGATTTCAGAAGACAAGATCTCGGCCTAGATAATTAGGTCCGAGAAGACAAGAGCTCAGCCTAAGTGAGCAGATCCCAGATTCTAGTAGATAAGATCTCGGCCTAGATGATTAGGTCTGAGAAGACAAGAGCTCAGCCTGAGTGAGCAGATCCCAGATTCTAGTAGACAAGATCTCGACCTAGATAATTAGGTCCAAGAAGACAATAGCTCAGCCTAAGTGAGCAGATCCCAGATTCTAGTAGACAAGATCTCGACCTAGATGATTAGGTTCGAGAATACAAGAACTCAGCCTGAGGGAGTAGATCCCAGATTCTAGTAGACAAGATCTCGACCTAGAAGATTAGGTCCGAGAAGACAAGAGCTCAGCCTAAATGAGCAAATCTCTAATTCTAGTAGACAAGATCTCGGCCTAGATGATTAGGTCCGAGAAGACAAGAGCTCAGCCTGAGTGAGCAGATCCTAGATTCCAGAAGACAAGATCTCGGCCTAGATAATTAGGTCCAAGAAGACAAAAGCTTAGCCTAAG